TGTGTGTGTATGTGTCTCTACATGCGACACGCCGATACATTGCCCTCCCTGCCCCTCTCCTCAAGACGCCCACGCGCTCACACCTCCATCTCATCACCACTCTCTACACCCTCTCCAACGCTCTTCAGATCATGCTTGGCACGCGCATGGACAAGCCCAACGGTTGCCCGGACAGCCTGTATGTCATCATGCGCCAGTGCTGGCACATGGGTCCAAACTCCCGCCCAGACTTTGAGGACCTCCTCGCGTCCCTCGTCGGTGTGTTTTGTGTGTGTGTGTGTGTGTGTGTCTGTGTGTGTGTGTGTGTCTGTGTGTGTGTGTGTGTGTCTGTGTGTGTGTGTGTGTGTGTGTGTCTGTGTCTGTGTGTGTGTGTGTCTGTGTGTGTGTGTCTGTGTGTTTGTGTGTCTGTGTGTCTGTGTGTGTCTGTGTCTGTGTGTGTCTGTGTGTCTGTGTGTGTCTGTGTGTGTCTGTGTGTGTCTGTGTCTGTGTGTCTGTGTGTGTCTGTGTGTCTGTCTCTCTGCCTTCTGTCTCCCTTTCTTCCTTTCTTCCTGTCTCCCTTTCTTCCTGTCCCCCTTTCTTCCTTGCTTCCTTTCTCCCATTCGCACGTCTTGACCGGCACGCCTTCCACTTGTGCTCATACTCCTCGCTGCACGCACCTCACACCCCCCCCCCCGGCGCGGTTTTCCTCCTCCCAACATCATTCTCCCCTCCCCTCCGCCCCCTTTTCCCTCCATCGCATCAGAGCTCCATCGCGCGTACAGCCGATCTGAAACACGCGCAGGCGTCTTCAACCCGCGAAAAAGTTCGTTGCACCGCGTGTGCCTGCAACCAGTTTGTTCAACACACACACACACACACACACACACACACACACACACACACACACACACACACACACACACACACACACACACACAAAGATGTTTGTGTGCGCCATTTGAAGTGTGTGTGCCCTCTGGCTGTTGCATCCATTCCCATCATTTTCACCCCATCCCTCCCTACATCCCGCGACACCCCGCCTCCCCTCTCACGACTCCCAATTTCCCCTTCCCTCCTCCCCTCCCCTGCCCCTGCAACGCGTGCCTGCAGGCATCATCATGAATCTTTCTGGTGGCGATGACGACAACGGCGACGGATCGCACGAGTCGTTCCACCAGTCCCGCCGCGCCATCGAGCAGAGGTGAGGACAGCACGTGCGCTGGCATGGAAGATGATAACAATGTGATGATGTGGTCATGGATTGGACAGTGAACAAGAAGCACACATCTCCACACACTCACATGGTTTCACTCACTCACTCACACTCACTCACTCTCTCACACAACTACACATACACACACACTCACTATCACTCCCTCACTCACTCCCTCACACACACTGGCTCACTCCCACACACACACACACACACACACTCTCTCTCTCTCTCTCTCTCTCTCTCTCTCTCTCTCACACTCACTCACTCACACACACAACTACACACAACTACACACAACTACACACAACTACACACAACCACCCACTCACTCACATGGCTCATCTCAACCCTCCGCTGTCACATCGACGTGTCATCGTCAGCTTCCACTCGCCAACCGGCGGTGCGCGCAACCCGCCATCAGACCGCCTGACGAAGGTGAGGAAGACGCAACCATGTTGGCGGCATGCAGTGCTTGCAGGCACGCTCACAACTTTGAACAATGTTTGCACATAATCACACAAGCACCACACACACACACACACACACACCTGTGCTTGCATATCAGCCCACTCGCTCACTAACGACAATGATAACGCCAACACACACACGCAAACACAACCTCACACAACCACACACACACACACGCAAACACACATGTTCACAGATTTCGTACTCGCCGACACCAGACGAGGCTGCCGACAGCAACAGAATGGCGGCACTTCGCTCGCACGTGGGGAATTACACACTTGGGCGCGGGCTCGCAAAGAGCATCAAGAACCTCAGAAACACGGTGCGGTGTGCATGTGCATGCGTGTGTATTATTGTTGTTGTGCATGCGTTGTGCATGCATGCAACTGCTTGTGTATCCTTCTTTTTAGTGCCATCTGTGAGGTTGTTCGCGTTGTCGCTTACGTACCGCCGCACTTCTTACACACACACACACACACACACACACACACACACACACACGCACGCACACACACACACATACACACACGTACACTGCCGCGTATTTTGGTCGTTGTGTTCCACAGAGCGAATCACCGCATCGCCTTCGCTCCATCTCCGACGTTGAGGACACGATGAAGCCGACACCCAAACGCCATTCCCACTCGGCCGTGCACCACCAGGACTCGCCCAACCTTCCACGCAACACCAAGCCGCACCACAGCCACCACGGCGCCGACTACCACGCGTACGACCGCGCGGAGGACACGGAGGAACTGCACGGCGTGCGCGGTGAGTCATGGCAGTGATGTTGTGTTGTGTGTTGTGTGTTGTATGTCTGTGTTGTGTTGTGTTGTGTTGTGTTGTTGTGTTGTGTTGTGTTGTGTTGTGTTGTGTTGTGCTGTGTTGTTGTGTTGTGTTGTGTTGTGTTGTGTTGCGTCCGTGTGTGTTGTGTTGTGGTGTGTTGTGTTGTGTTTGTGTGCAATGTAGGGTTTAGTAAGTGAGAGTTGACTGCAAGTGCACGCATGTGTCAGCATGATCCACGCTTTCCTCTCATACCACCACCGCCACCATCAATATGACAGCGGTCAGCGACAAGTTTGATGAAGCGTTTGCGCTGGATGACATTCGTCGCTCAAATCCACTCTATCACCTCGACGAGTATGACAATGTCCTGGTGAGGCCCCAGCACATTGACATGGCACACCACACTACATACCACACCCTGAGTTCCAGTTTCACTGCGTCTGTTCCTGCTTGCTGCCACCCAACTGCCCTCATCACGCCTCTCACAACAACATCAACCACACCACCACCACCACTGCCAGGCGTACAAGCGCGATCCGGTGCGTCGCGAATTCATCGCCGCGGCGCCGGATGACATTCGCGCAGGGGAACTCGTCTTTGAGCGGGTGCGAGGCAGCAACGATCGTGGTGGTGGTGGTGGTGGTGGTGGTGGTGGTGGTGGTGGTGATGATGGTGATGGTGGTGGCGGGACGATTGGTTACTATTGCTCAAGTGCGCTGCTGTCTCATCTATTTTGTCATGCATAACGCAACACACACACACACACACACACACACACACACACACACACACACACACACACACACATTCACACATTCACGCATTCACAATCACACACATCTCCACGCTTCCTTCCTCTCACCCCTCTCGCCCTCCCCCCTCCTCCCACGCCCCCCTGCTTTTCTTGCAGGTGCACGTGTTCCCCGGCCAGACGCCACGACCAGAGAAGTTTGAGTTCTGGGACCCGCACGACCGTGATTACATGTACGTCCCCATGAGCGAGGACCTTCGCTTCCACATTGTCAGGGGCATCAACGCGTAAGCGCGCCAACTTGTGCAGTAGCCACACAATCACGCATGCCTGAAACGAGCGTTCCCCTTCCATCCTTGTCCATTCCATCCCTGCACTTCCTTCTCCATCTCCTCCCTGTTCTCCCCATTCGTTTCCTTTGCTTTTGTCTTGCCTTTCTTCCTTCGTTGACCTTGCTTTGCCCCCCCCCCGTCTTGTTCATTTCCTCTGTCCCCGTAACACCCATTGTGCATGTAAACGTATGAGCAAGCACGCGTGCAAGCGTGTGCTGGTGTTGTTGTGGGTGGTGTGCGACATTGCTTGCACCTCTAGTGGAGGGTGTGTAACGCCTTTCAGTCCATGGCGACTCGCAACACGTGTGTGGCCATTGGGTTGTTGTCACTTGTTATGATCTTGCTCAAAGTGCTGTTGCTGTCTATTGCTTTGATTGATTGCTTGAGTGAGATACGAAGGAAAGTAGCCACACATTAAATACGGAAAAAGTTTACATTAAGACAAGTCACATAGAGACAAGTCACATAGAGACCTTACAAGTTACACCAACCCACATGTCAACGCAGCACAACGACACAACACATTTGGAAATGGATAGAGCCAGTGAGTGATACGCTCACCGCTGACATCGAGCAACGAAAGGGGAGGGGGGCAGGACCTCAACACGTGCCAATGAACCCAGCATCAGCACACTCCGCAGGCAGGTGACATGACAACCGCCAAGAAGAACAACAACCAAGAAGCACACACTGACGCACCCAAGTCTGGCACTCATTTGCGTATGCAGACAAAGAGCGCGATACACAACGAACCACCAACGAACGCAGGAATGTCGCCAAGACCAAATTCGCCCAAAGAACCGGCTTCGAGTCATCAAACACATACACATGAACATACACGCTCGTGGACACACACACACACTCACTCACTCGCTCACTCACTCACTCAATCAATCACTCAATCAATCACTCACTCAATCAATCACTCACTCACACTTGACACACACACACACTTGACACACACACACACACACTCACACACACACACATTCTCACACACTCACTTACTCAATCAATCAATCACTCAATCACACAAACACACGCGCGCGCATATCATTGCCACGGTCAGTCTGCCGACTCTGCCATGGAGGAAGCAGTAGAGATGTGACTGCCGTGCCGCTGTAACCGCGCATCATCCTGCCCTTGCTCATCAGTCGAAGGCTGCGGCTGCGAGGGCCTTCGCTTCCCCTCCTCCGCCAACCTCTGCTGCTGCTGCTGTTGGTGTTCTTTCTGTTGTTGCTGCTGTAAGCGGCGCTGCTGGCGGCGCGTGGGCCGCGTGTGCATCTTGCACAGCAGCACCGTGATGAGGAAGGCCAACACCACGCTGTACATGGGGTGGTCTGCCGTGACAAAGTCCGACACGAGCACGTCAAACCCACGCTGGATATGGCCCTGTGCACGTGCAAGCAGCACGCTCTCCTGCGTCGTCCGCACCTCAAACGTGTGCCGGTGTTTGCGAGGACCATCGCCACCACCACCGCCCCTGCCGCCACTGCTGCTGGTGCTGCTGCGCCTTGTCCCTGGCAGTGGGAGGGACAGTGACGAGGCCGAGGGGTCGCGCAGCGTGTAGAAACGCGCATACATGATGCAGTCGCCGTTGGGCTTCATCAGCTCCACATGCATCGCCCGCCCCTCCCGGCGCACGTTGGTCGTGTAGGTATTGCTCTGCACCACAATGGCAAAGCATGGCGACGGCGTCAGCGGCAGCACAATCTTCGCCTTCTTCAGCGCTATCCGGCAGCCCGGGTGCGGCTCCAGCATAAAGTACGACACCTTGTCCACGTGCATGTGCGATTCACTAGTGGGCACGTGCACCTCCTGGTGGTGCGGCCGCACGTCAAAGTACGGCGTCTCCCGCATGGGGTCGATCGATGCGCCGGGCCGGAAGCTGCCGCCAACACACGCCACCGGTGCGCGGTACAGCTCAAAGGTTGACACGTCGCTGATGGCCGAAGACCGTGTCGTGGATACGGACATCATGGACATCATGGACATGCTCTCCATGGAAGGGCTGGAGCTGCGTTGTGGCAAGGGCGGCAGGGGGCGGCCGGGCCGTGACAGCGACGACGCGGGCGAGGATGTCGCTGATGACGACAGCGTGGCCCGCATGCCATCCTCCACGCCATGTTGCTGCTGCTGTTGGTGTAGTTGTAGCTGGTGTGATTTCGCTGTTGCTGGCGTCAGTGCCAGGTGCATAAAGTAGTGGGTGCTGGATGTGAGCTCCCTCCCAGCAGGGCCATCCCGTTCCCGACTTCCCCAATTACCCATGTGCGATGTGTGTGTGTGTATGTGTGTGTGTGTGTGTGTGTGTGTGTGTGTGTGTGTGTGTGTGTGTGTGTGTGTGTGTGTGTGTGTGTGTGTGTCCTGTTTTGGTCCAGAGCACACACGTCAGCGATAGCAGCACCACAACCACAGCCAGGCCACTCGTGCGAAGCGCAGTCTGTTCTGTGCTGTGCTGCTCTGTGTGGGTGAGAGACACCGCAATGCGGCCAGAAGATGAAGGTTGTTTGGTCCGCGTGTTGGTTGACGCGTGTTGTGTGTTTTGGGCTTGGCTTGCTTGCGTCGCGCACTTCTTGCCTCTTGCTTGTTTGCGGGGCGAATCGGTGCCGCGTGTGTGAAAATGAGCAGAATGGTCCATTTCCATTCGCATTTCAACTGAAATCAGTTTGGTACAGGCAACTTGTGCCACACAAACAACAGACAGAACAGACAGCACCTCCGCATCAGCGCGCACACACACACACACAACACACACACACACACCACACACACCACACACACCACACACACACACACACACACAGCACACACACACACATGCATACACACACACACATTCACAGCACACACACACAGAGCAACAAGAATGGTACCACGTCGTGTCGGCATCTCCACCCGCCTCAACACGGCCTTCGTCGTCAGTGCTGTCCTTGTCACAGCCCATGTTGGGATTCTCCTTCTCAGCGCGGACAACAGTGCCGGAGCCGCCGTGTTGGAAGAGGACGATGCGGGCTCCTTGCACATCAGCACAAACGATCCTGCACGCCAGCCCGTGTTCATGAACGGCATGGACGTGGCCCACCTCTTCCAGCTCACCCAAGAACAGCAGCGCGCAATCGCGAAGCAGCGTCGTATCAACGCCGCACAGGACCATGCCATCACCTCCATAGCCGCCAGGCTGCGTGCGCTTGAGCAGCCGTCATCCGAATCCATGTCTTCCTCATCGTCATCCCCTACCACCACCACCACCACGGTACACGACGCCACGTCCTCCACATCGTCATCCCCGACCACCACCACCACGGTACACGACGCCACGTCCTCCACATCGTCATCCCCGACCACCACCACCACGGTACACGACGCCACGTCCTCCACATCGTCATCCCCGACCACCACCACCACGGTGCACGAAGCCACGTCTTCCACATCGTCATCCCCTACCACCACGTCTTCCTCATCGACCTTCTCAGAGTTCCCTATTCAGCCCACAAGGAACTAATCATTCTCCTTGACATGAAGAGCACCACCACAGGCACGACCACTCTTCGCTTTACCACGTGAACAGCGTGGCAATGCGACGTACTTGTACTAGCTTAAGGCAACGGCCTTATTTTTACTGCCTCCCAGACAATACCGACGCTGTGCACGTCATTGAGCCTGCATGCTGCTGATGCCGTGCGTACGCGCGTTGTTGTGCGTGCGTGTGACCGTACTCACATCTACTCGCATCATGCGCGTGCTTTCTACGTCACAACGCTGCTTCACCATGTTATCGCGCTATTGGCTTTTCTCTTGTCGCTTTGGCACTACTGGCCACACTCTTGCTCAGATTCGCACTGATGTTCAATGCACTGATGTTCAATCGTGTAAATGTAATGTCACTCAACTGAAACGACAGCAAATACAATGAATGTAATGTAAACGAGTGAAACCCCCCAATGAAACCATGTGAAGATGAAAGCAGATGTTCTGGTGTTAGGTCCTTCACCACGAGAGCAAGGTCGCACGACCCAGCCTCCACTTCTCCAGCCCAACATACCAGCCGGCAACACCACGCACTGCCAAGTAACGCTGCAGCGCAGTCGTCGTGGTAACAGATGCATCAGGTCAACTCACCAGCAAGCACCACAGCGTCACAAACACACAGGCTCGGCCTTGATCACCACCTCCATCTCATCGGTGTCGTCCATGTGTGCCTCGTCGTGCTGCTCTTCAGTCGGTGCTGGCAACGGGGAGGAGGACGCTGCGCATCCGAGCAGCAGCTGCGTAGAGGCAGCGGCAACATGATGCCACACGCTGGAAGAAGGTGTGCCGGGCATGTGCGCACGCTGCAGTGCGAGCGAGCAGGCTGCGACGACAGCGCGGCGGGAATATGGCCAGGGCGCCAGGTCCGTGTCGGGGTGGATGCGCTCATACAGCGACGTGTGGACATTGTCCAGCTCGTGTCGAGAAAGCAGTGGGTACACGGGTAGCAGCTGGGTGAAGCGCGCAAGCACACCCTCCAGAGAGTCTGGCGTCAGCAGCTCAAACAGGATGCGCAGCCGTTCCGTTTCCGTCACCATCGAATCTGCAGCCAGCGGCATCACGGACGAGGAGTTGGCTGTCGCTGATGATGACGATGGTGTCGCAGATGATGCTGGCAGTGTTGTTGTTGTTGTTGTTGTTGTTGAGGCAGCGGCCCCCAGTGTCTTCTTGGCTCGCTTGGGAAGGGGGTCGGTGTCGCAGTCGCTGCAGTCTTGCCAGCTTGGCGATGGTGGTGCTGACAGCTGCGCTGTGTGAGCTGGCGAGACTACTTGCGAAGGTGCTGTGTGCTCCATGGTTGCCCGGCACTCGGCCAATACACGCCGCACGTCATCAAACAAGCTTGTCACGTCGTCCGACTCCCGGCTCTTGCTGCCGCTGCCGCTGCTGCTGCTGCTGCCGCCGCTCTTGTTGTTGTTGTTGTTGTTGTTGTTGTTGTTGTTGTTGTTGTTGTTGTTGTTGTTGTTGTTGTTGTTGTTGTTGTTGTTGTTGTTGTTGTTGTTGTTGTTGTTGTTGTTGTTGGGTGCAGGGGACGGTGGTGGTGCTGGGTTGTTGACTTGAGCAGGCTGCGTTTCCCTTGCGTCGTGCACCTCTTCGCCAGCGTCCGCCGCCAGAGATGAGGAAGACGAAGACGAGGACAACAGCGATGTATCGGAGTTGGCGGGTGAGCTGGCGCCGCTGTCATCGCTACCGCCGTTGCCGTTCGCGGTGTGAAAGGCGAAGCCGTCATTGCCACGAAGAGGGTCGTTGTCATCACAAAGAGGGTCGCTGCTGTCAAACTGGTGGTGGCGATGGTAACGACGACAGCAGTCATCATCACCGTCATCGTCGCTGGTGCACCAATGCCGGCTTGTGGTACAACGTGAAGCCGTGAAACCGTCTGCATCGCCCGTGTCATCGTGGATGTTGCCGTCAAGCGTCGCACTGGCGCACAGCTCCGGGGTCAAGACAAAGGTCAACAGGCGAAGAATGCTGCCTGCGTCAGACACCTCAATGCCATATGCCAGCTGCGTCGCGGTGGCTGTGGTGGTGGTGCTGCTTCGTCTTCCTCTGTCAGCGTTGGTTGCGGTGTCACTGCCGATGTGGGAGCTTGGCGTCGAAGCCAAGGCATGGGGCGCAGCAGTCTTAGGGCCGGTGCTCATCTTGTACATAGTTGAATGGGTTGATGGCTGAATTGTTTCTTGAGGTGCTTGAGGTGCTTGAGGTGCTTGAGGTGCTTGAGGTGCTTGAGGTGCTTGAGGTGCTGTATGTCGAATGGACAAGAGAAGTGGCTTGAGCAGGGCGGGATGCGATTGGCCACTTGTCTGATGCGGTAGCTGCGGATGGGGAAAGAAATAAATGGTGGCTGGCAACCGAGCGAGGGTGCATCCGCAAAACGCAATCAAGCAGGCATGTAAGCAGGCGGTTGCAGGCAAGCAAAGCAAACCGGGGGAGACTCGGTTCTCATGCTTGTTGGTTCAATCGTTGGTTCTGTCTGTGCACCTGCCGATTCTTGGAAAAGCAAGCCCTCGCAGCTTGCAACGTTTACACGGATTTCATGCTTTCGTGATTGATTGTGGCAACTTAGAACTGCAAGTCACTTGGTTGCCGGTGACACTCTGCGCTGCCAAGGTTGCTGATGCTTGCTCCTTTGCTTGCGTGTGGGTTGCGCGTAGACGTGTTCTCAAGCAACTGCGCGTGATGTGTTGACGCAGCTGATTGTCACAGCAACCTGTGCTGATTTCTTTCTCTTTCGTGGAACTGGGGTGGAAGTCATACCGACGTCACTGCTGCACGTGACTTGAGCCTGTACGGAGAAAGCTGGCTTTCTTGGCTGTGGTGACAGCTGCCCTGAACGCAGCAAACGTGTGGCATTCATTGTAAGGCTCTCTGTAGTCGTGGGTGTTGCGTGTGACGTCATCATCATCACAAACAACAAACACAACAAACGCAGAAAGAACGCAAGAAGGAAACGGGAAGGAAACGGGAAGGTGCAGCGGACGGACCTGTACCTGTGTTGGTGTGAGCAGCGCTGCTTTGCTCGTGCGTGCGAGGAAGAGAAGCAGCCTGCAAGGCGGCAGGCAAGCGGGCAGGCGCAAGTATGCAAGAAACGTGCAGCACACGAAGGAAGGGAAGAGGAAGGACTGCTGCACCTGCAGTTGCGGCAGCGGCAGCGGCCCTTGTCGCTGCTGTCGTCGTCGTTGTTGTCGAGGCTGCTCCCACAGACCGACACCCAGCAACCAACCTACAGGCCTACGTGAGTGAGTGAGTGAGTGAGTGAGTGAGTGTGTGTGTGTGTGTGTGTGTGTGTGTGTGTGTGTGTGTGTGTGTGTGTGTGTGTGGTGGAACCCGCTTGAAACTTGCTGTCACCTCATACTTGCTTGTGGCTGCGTTTGCCCGCTCTTCTCTCTGCGTGCTTGAACCTGTGAAGTGTGACCTCGATCCAGATGTGCGGCCTCCCCACCCAACGACATTGCGAGACATGAGGTGTGTGTGTGTGTGTGTGCGTGTGTGTGTGTGTGTGTGTGTGTGTGTGAGTGAGTGTGTGTTTTCCGACCAACGCATGCATGCGAGACTGCTCCGTCCAACCACTCGACTTGAACATGCTGGGTGACGTGATGTGACGCTGTCTTGTCCATTCATGTGCAAGGTGGATCCACTTTCCCAAGACGGGTACCAGCTTTGGCACCTGCCTTGCTCATTACACCTGCCCTGGGTTGGACCCCAACGCATATCCCAACAGGTTTGTGTTCATATATGTGTGTGTTCATGTGTGTGTGTGTGTGTGCATGTGTGTGTATGTGTGTGCATGCACACCGGCCGTGTGAAGCCCAATGCCGCAAAAGAGGATCATCAGCTGTGGCGCGCTCACCACCTTTCCTTGCTCTCCACGCCTCCCTCAAATGCAGAGCGGAAAGCCCAAACGGCAATTATATGCAGTACTTTGCAGAGACATACATGAACTCAAGCACGTGTGACGGAGTCGTGAACCTCCGCGAATCCCACGGCCACACCCCTCTCAGGGTATGTGTGTGTGTGTGTGTGTGAACGTGTGCATGTGCGTGTCTGTGTGTGTGTGTATGTAAACGTGTGCATGTGTGTATGTGTGTGTGTGTTTAGCATCATGTGATGCTGCGTTGCGCCTCCTTCTGTTGCGTGGAGACTTTTCTCTTCCTTCGCAATGTCTGACAGCTGCACACTTCGACTTCTGCTGTTGCTCTTGCCGCAGGAGCGGGAGATTGCTGCCGGCGGGATTGTGGGCATGTTCCGTGACCCGCGCCATCGCGACTACAGCGGTGAGGGAACTGGACGAAGCGAGGCACCCGTGTTCTTGTCTGTGTGCGTGCGTGCGCGCGTGTGTGTGTTCTTGTGCGTGTGTGTGTGTGTGTGTGTTCTTGTGTGTGTGTGTGTGTTCTTGTGTGTGTGTGTGTGTGTGTGTGTGTGTGTGTGTGCATGCGTGCGTGCGTGCGTGCGTGCGTGCGTGCGTGGCCATATACCTGTGCTTATCAACAAGCATACAAACAGCCACAATAACGCCCCCCCCCCCACACACACACGTGCCATCAGGGTGGCTGGTGCATGGGCGGCGTGGCGAGTCGCCCTTACACCCAGAGCAGCTCAGCGATTACGTCCATCTCCATCGCGCATGCCAGGTGAACATTCCATATGCGGTCATGCTCTCAGTCACGAGCGATCATCACCACCACCACCACTACTGCCACCATTACTCACACCGCCACCACCACCACCACCACTGTTGTGTGGGCAGATGCGCATGCTGCTCGGCTTTGAGTGCAATCGCGTGGATTCTGTATCTGAGCTCGCGGTTCAAATTTCGCGGCAGGACGTCGAGTATGCGCTCGCTCTCCTCGACTCCAAGTTCGCCTTTGTCGGTGCGTTCATGCAGTGCGTGTGTGTGTGCATGTGAGTCTATGTGTGTGTGTACATGTGTGTATATGTGTGTGTTCATGTGTGTATA